TTTTTTTTTTTTTTTTTTAATCCTCAAGAAGTGAGAATATTTCTTTCCCATTGATTTCTAGAGAGAGTGGAAGGGATGAGGGGGAGAGAGAGGGAGAAACATCTATGTGAGACACACACTGATGGTTGCCTCTCACAGGCACCCCAACTAGAGGCAGGGATTGGACCTGTAACCCTTGACCAGAAATCGAACCCTTGACCCTCCAGTGTGCTGGCTGTTTTTTTTAATCCTCAAGAAGTGAGAATATTTCTTTCCCATTGATTTCTAGAGAGAGTGGAAGGGATGAGGGGGAGAGAGAGGGAGAAACATCTATGTGAGACACACACTGATGGTTGCCTCTCACAGGCACCCCAACTAGAGGCAGGGATTGGACCTGTAACCCTTGACCCTCCAGTGTGCTGGCTAACACTCTACTGAGCCACACTGGCCAAGACAGGGTTTCTTTTTATTACAGTAAAATATATGTAAATTTTACTGTTTTAGGCACTTGTAATTACGTATGAATGGCATTAAGTGTAGTCATGTGTTTTGCGTGGAGGGGGGTGGTTTTGAAAAGGCAGATGTCCCTGGATTTAGGAGTAGGCCTTAGGTCCCAGCCAGAAGGCAGGTGGGGCTGAGGTCAAGACAGCCCCTAGGAAGGCCTTGAGGGCTACAGCTCCGCCCTGCACACCTGGCCTCTAGTTAATCCAGGACCAGGTGGTCTGAGCCCTTGTGCTGGGAGGATGGGATCCAGACTGTGCCCAGCTCTTACAACCCTAGTGCAGAAGGTACCCACCCACCTGCCCCTGACACACCCCAAGCCCTTGAGTCTCATGGATTCTAAGTACTCGCCAAGCTCTTGGGTGCCAGGAGAGCAGCGAACAGTGGCCTTGCCCTCTGAGTTGGCACAGAGGAGGTTAGACTGATGGGGACAATGCACAACATGGCACAGGCATGAGGGTGCTCCAACCCCTAATGCTCACCTGGGGTCTCAGCAGAGAGGAGTTCCCAGGTGGAAGCTCCAGGGGCATGGCACAGAGGGTGCCAAGAGGAGGCCACCCATGTACCGTGAGGGGGCTTAGCCCTGAGGGGACCCACTCCACCATGAGCCCCCTCACTCTAAAAATAAAAAAAATGTGGGAACTACTTGTTTGCAATGGCACAGAGGGTGCCAAGAGGAGGCCACCCATGTACCATGAGGGGGCTTAGCCCTGAGGGGACCCACTCCACAATGAGCCCCCTCTAAAAATAAAAAAATGTGGGAACTACTTGTTTGCAGAGAAGAAGCAGGGATGCAGGTCAGGGCCATTGCAGTCCCTGAGGAGAAGTGGGTAGGCAAAGCCAACAGATACGGATCCTCCAGGTTGTGGTAGGTTCCAGGCCCCTTAGGTTTACCCTCGTTACTGTACTCTTAGGGACTCCCCTGCATACACCTTGTTTCTGGTCAGTGGAGGAAGACATGGTCATAAGCACCTACTGTGGGTTGTGGGGTCTCCTAACCCTGCATAGAGGCCCCAGGCTGTCCTGGGCAAGGGACCCTGCAGCTAGGGTAAGCAGGGCTTCTGGGGCTGCCCTCCCTACTCACACTGGGGATCTCTGGCCAGGCTCAGGCTACAATCTGAGGAAGGAAGGGCTGGAGAAACTGCTGGCCCTGAATCCTGCATGGGAGCTCATAGGATCCAGAGCAGAGCAGAGCCTGACCTTGCCTGACCTTAGGGTGCACCCTCCCTGGCTTTCACCAGCAGGTCCTGGACCCTCACGGCATCATGTGGAAATGTGGGTATCCTCTCTCGGGTAGCAGGCTGCTCAGTAGCTGGTGCCCTTGGGTCTGGGAGCTGGGGGACCTTCCTAGAGGAGGTAGTGCCCTGCCATAGTTCAGGCAAGTGGGGAAGGGATATGCAGGGGAAGTGCCTTGCCTGGGAAGAGGATGGTGGCCACAGTGGGGTTTGGGATCTGTGGAGATGGAATGGCTCTCAGACTTGATAGTGTCTGAATTATTAGAGGACTTGTTAAAACAGGTTGCTCTTCCCTTTCCTTCCCTGCATCTGCCAGCTTCCCTCCTGCCTTTGTCCCTTTGCCCATGTCTCCCTGCCCGCCTGACTTCCACACTGAGCACCGGGGCTGCCCTCCCAAGGAGGTTGTGCCATCCTCACAGTCCAGGAGGGGAGCAGTGGTAAGGGGATTTCTCCCACCATGACTGGGGCCACCTTTTATTTTTGAGATATAATCAACAAATAACTTATTTTTAGGTGTACAACATAATGACTTGACACTTTTAAGTTGCTAAATGTCACAATAAGCCTAGTTAACATCCATCACCACACAGTCACAAAAATTTTTTGTGATCAGAACTTTTTTTAAAATATATTTTTATTGGTTTCAGAGAAGAAGGGAGAGGAAGAGAGCGAGAAACATCAATGATGAGAGAGAATCATTGATTGGCTGCCTCCTGCATGCCCCACACTGGGGATTGAGCCTACAACCCTGGCATGTGCCCTGACCGGGAATCAAACTGTGACCTCCTGGTTCATAGGTCGACGCTCCACCACGGAGCCACACCAGCCGGGCTGTGATCAGAACTTTTAAACTCTACTGTCAGCAACTTTTAAATGTAGAATACAGTATCCTATCTAATAATAGAGAAACATGGTAATTAGCCGTACCTCCGCTACCCTTCCCATTGGCTAATCAGGGTGATATGCAAATTAACTGCCAACCAAGATGGCGGCCGGCAGCCAGGCAGCTTGAAGCTAACAGGAGGCTTGCTTGCTTCAGTGACGGAGGAAGCCAACGTTTCCCGCCTGCCTTGCTGGCCTCTGAGCTTGCAGTTTAAGAAACATTGTTACAAATATAGAAGCTAAACAAAACCCCAGAAACCTGCTTTCAGCCAGCAGGACCGCAACATTGTTTCAATTATAGAACAAACGCAGATCCCTGCTTTCAGCCAGCGGGATCTCAGAGCTGGAGTGAGCAGGACCGCAACAGTGTTAACAATTATAGAACCCAAACAAACCAGATACCTGCTTTCAGCAGCTGAGGCCTAAGAGCTGGAGCCAAGCCTCAGAGCTAAAGCTAGCCCAGAATAAAAAAAGAAAAGAAAAAAAGAACAGGTTGGGAGCTTCAGTCTCCCGCCAGTCTGAAAACGGCCCTCAGCCCCTCACCCAGACTGGCCAGGCACCCCAGGGGGGACCCCCACCCTGAAGGGTGTGTGACCAGCTGCAAACAGCCATCATCCTCTCATCCAGGCTGGCCAGGCACCCCAGTGGAGACCCCCACCCTGATCCAGGTC